ACACACACACACACACGTGCGACCAGGCTATCGTTGCTGCCTAAGCACCAGTTGAACATTTCCTCTTTCCCCACCCTCGGCCGACAGAGTCTATACCACAAGACACGACACCCCTCGGGTAATGTCCCACACACCAAGTAGAGAACACTTGAACCTGCTCCGCAATCTTAATCGAGCAGCTACCACCACTGTATCGTGCTCTCGCAGGCCTGACTGGATGCAGGCAACAGTAGCCCTGACTTCGCCAGTTGACACTGCCACCTGGTACAACAATTGGGAGTTCTGCACACAATAAACCACTCCTTCTGGTGACTTCTGTCTTTTAACTTCCAACCTGAGATTCGGTCTGATGATTGTAGTGCTCTAAGCACAACCAGTACTTAGACCGCTACAACTTTAACACCCAATGTGCAGTAATTAACACATTTAGGTAGGTACACTTTCAGGCCAGTCAAGCCCGTCCTCCATACTTTACGGCTGTATTTTTTAAACTTAATTCAATTCAGTTTACTGTGAGAAGGATAGGCGAACGCTGTCAAACTCCCTACTAGTTACAAAATAGCTTAAAAAGCAGGCTGTATAAAGAAAGCTCAAACAAAGAGATTGCTAACATAACTGCAGGTGAAAGCAAGCAGCCCCAGTACATTTAACCGCTTAGCGGGTAGGGTCGCCCCAATTATGCGACTCCAATTAACTACATTGAGTCTGCGTGTCAGGCAGTTGCTCGAGAGGTTTACCTTTCCTAAGCCGACATGACCACTGATCACGCAGAAAAGTCATCACCACAGCGGGTACACTAGTTCGAGCTTTCTTTTGGGCGCCACGTTCTAATCCCTACGCAAGCACTCGTACTTCCGACACAAAAAATTAGAAGAAATCGAGCGTAAGTCTTTCTTCAGGGTACGCGCACATGACACAATTTTGCTTGTTCCGCTTTAAAACAGTATCAAAGTCATCCCAATTCAGATAGCCGTAGTCCAGCAAACAACTGGGAAGTCACGGCCTTAGTAGTCTCATTCCCCGGGGCTGATATCTCAGATAACAAAACAACATTGCTCGGTCTCAGACATTGGTGCACCCGAATCAACGATCCGAATCTGGGTGGAAGGGCTGGCAGTGGGAAGTGTGAAGGACGCACGAAACAGTAGTTGCAAGACGCCCACTTCATGTAATTATTATGTCACATAGCTGATATGATTAATTTGTGCTGAGAAGGTGACCGGCAACGGAGAAGATCGAGACTAACCTTAGCCTGCTCATCAGCCTCACGTTTCTGTTCAACTAGAATGACCAAGTAGTCATCACATTCTTTCTGGAAGGCAGCAACCTTCACTCTGGCCTCCTCCAATTCAACAGACATGTCTACAAGGAAATCGAAAGGTAGACGCGGAGTATGAAGTCTGCGTGGAGGTCAGACAGGTAGAACCTTTGCGAAAAAGAGGGAGGAGGACGGCAACATACCTTGCACCTTTTCCCTCGTTTCATCGATCTTCCCCAGACCACTCTTTAATTTGTTTGCCTGGTCACTCAGTTTTATTCGCTTACTCAGCAACATTCTGAAAAAGAGGGAGGCCGGCAAGATGACAACAGGTCAAACTTAAAAGTAGATTACATAAATACCACCTACTCACGACCGCGAGTAGGACCAATGTAATCGCAAATTATATTAGGGGGTTCGCGTACGACGTAGGTTTTGAAATTGGGTCATGAGCTAGTGTGCTTGGGTTAAGTTTACTTTAAGTTGCGACAGACCACACTTTCTTAACTATTTTCGCACAGTTTGAAACACTACTTGCATTTTAAATAAGGCATATATACTGCCGGGGCCAGGGAAAATGCGAGTTTCAGTAAGCCATTGAAAAGAAGGCACTATCGTTGGAACAAGAACTTTATTAGCCTGAAGTTTCTGATTAATGCTGGAACCCATCACCATCACGCGCGATCGCTGGGACAGTATGTGTACTAGTCGGAGCTTTCGGTCTCGTAAGAGGTCGTCATTAGAGATTTTGAGCATTGTGAAACTGTGGTCCGGTGATCAAGCATACACATCCTTTCAAGCATGTCTACTGTGTTTAAGTTTCACTCTAGCATATGAATCAGACGAACAGTTCTGCAACTGTTAGTCTTATAAATGAGCCAGACTTGTTCTTTTGCCCTGAGCAGCGACACATTCCTGTCCTATTTCTTGATGCAAACGTCCTCGTTTCTTTATTCAAACAACTGTACCAGATTAGGGCCATTTTTAATGGTAGTATTCACAAGCTAAAATGAAAATTGACTGTTCATTTTAGTACTTCCTGTTTCCTTCACGCTACGCCATTGGCTTGGAAGCAGTTTATAGTGTTTGGCGGCACTTATTCCAGTCTTGTGTCGGTAGAGGATTTCTGACTAGGCGTGACATCCCTAGCCAATGAATTGGTTGAGGAAGAATCATGGGCACTCTGACGTCAGGCTCAGAACTGGGGTGCATCAGCAGTCTAACTTCCAGTTTACAAGCCAATGACAGCTAACAAATTATATATCTAGCGAAATTATGACTTTACCAAGAGAACCTACTTTTTATAGCCACTGACGAGCTCGAGGTAGTTAGTTGGAGTCACATAATTGTGACGTCGCAGCTCGTTAAGCATTCGCTCAGACATCCTGGACACAGAACCGTGCATGACGGCAAACGTTCGTGCGACACCAGGCTTCATCTTTTTCTATAAAAGAGAAGAAACCTTTAGCGGGGATTGCAAAACCACCGTCATCTCCTTGATCGCGTACAGTTCAAAGGTGCATCTGGCTTGAGGAAATAAAGTTGATCCTAATGAATGCTGTTATTATGTATAAATACATCAATAATTGTATACACACGCATCATAAGCAAACATAGACTTACGCTTGCACGTTCACGCTAAAAAGTAAATAAAAATCGATAGTAACGGCATTGTTTGTTTGTTTCTTAGAGTGCCAAAACAATAATGGAACAATCCTCCTACGGATTTGATACCATCAAAGAAAAGGAAAACATAAGACACTTATCCCTGGTCCAGTGGTCGTCGTCAGGCGGTCATACATTAGCAACAAGCGTGCACTTGACATTATTTTGCCTGATATAAAGGTAATCTGCTTAGACTACTAGCCGCTGTGCGGCTGCTACCGGGCTCGAGAGGGAACCACAGAGCAGAACGGGACGCATGAGTTCCGTTATCGATCGGTGAGCGTTCATCAATTAATTCAACTATTCCCGATCTAGATTAGCGAGACAACGACCCCTTGGCTCAATAGTTAGAGCGTTTTACTTCTGTTCAAGAGATGGCGGGTTCAAGCCACGGGTGGAGCACCAACTAGGGTTGGGTATGCTTTATTGATGACGGCTGATGAGCCAAAAATGGCCATCTCAGTCTCCCTTATCATTGTTGGTAGCTTTCATCTGCCTAAGACTAAAAGTGTTCAAGGGGATTCAAACCGGTATTTTCCGTGAAATTGCATTTATGCTGGATGACTTATTAATAGAAGCGAATATGCGAGTTCCAGGAAGTAGTCGTGAAT